GTTAAACTTGTTTGGACTTATTGTACAAACCTATTTAACATCCACTATTTTAACATAATATTATGTAAAGAGTTTAATTCAGTGTTTGCAAGATGAATTTAACTATTTTTAAATTAATGTCTATATTGCCATGAAGCAATTAGGATTTTCTTGCCTGGGATCTTCCTGTTGGTGACCTAATAAAAATGGCCGACTTGGATGTGGGGGAGTTAGATATCCATCCTTGACTTCCTGCAGTCTGCAGCCAGACGGACTTGATTAATGTTGGCGTGTTATTATTAGCCATTAGCCGCAGCTAGCAATTCAAGGCTAACGTCACGTTAATGATCATAAACAACGTAAATGAATAAATAAATAAGTCGGAGAGAATGGAAAATGAGTATCGTATCCCCTCAGCTAGTTATTGGATTAGAAGGAAATCAAGGCTGGATGCTAACCTGACAAATGTTTAGAAGGTTTAGAAAGAGGGATAGGGCTGTTATTTTATCTGGCAGAAGCTCAGAAACCCACAGAAACTCCCAAACTGGGGGGGGTAGAGATGCTCCTCCTGTCTGAAATGTGCTGTAAACAATAATCCTCCCTCCTCCCTGTCTGTCTGGGTTCCGGGAGCCGAACGCCTCCATCCCCATCCCTCCTTTTCCTCCATGTTCTGATCCTCATTTTATCCCGATTGGGGGTCTTTTCGCCTGCCAGCAGCCCTCCGGTTGCCACGGTTAAAAAGCCAAGGCAAGTTTATCTCAAGACTCAACGTGCTTCACAAAGAATTTAAAAGCAGAAAAACAAAGAAAGAAAAGGAATCAACTGAATAAATTATATAAAAAGTGAAGGGTGCAGATAAAATATATCAAATTTCCATATTCGGGGTTGAACAGAACTGGATTTAAACATTCAGAGCAGAGTTCTCTCACGTCTAAAGGACGTCCGATACAGATTTCAGGAATATGGATCTGAAATGAAGCTCCACCTGGTTTAGTTCTGACTCTGGACCCCATCAGGAGACCAGAACCTGGTTTAGTTCTGACTCTGGACCCCATCAGGAGACCAGAACCTGGTTTAGTTCTGACTCTGGTCTCCTGATGGGGCCCAGAGTCAGAACTAAACCAGGTTCTG